ACGGGCACAGAGCCGCCTTTAAGGCCGTGGGGGCATGGGGCCGTGCCCAGCGAGCGCTAATATTTGTGGAAGCGCCTTTATGGCCGGGCCGCGGCCCCCCTCTCCATGGGGGCCCGCCTCGGAGGGGTCGGGCTGGGCTTGGGGGACCAGGGAGGTGCCCCCGGGAGAGTGGGGAGAGCAGCCCCCACCCTCAGGCCTGCCCCCCCCACAGCTGCGGATGGGGGTCCGGGGAAGCTCTGTCTCTAGCCCCTCTGATTGGCTGCCCTTCTCCAGGGGGCGGGGCAGTGGGGGAAGGCAGCCAATGTGGGGGCTTTCCCCTACCCAGCACTTGGGGTCTCCACCCTAAGAGCAGGCTGGTGTCCCCCCACCCACCATGCAATGGCCACGTGTGGCAAAGCCAGGTCCAGGCCAGAGCTTGGGCCTCTGCCTGGACCCCGGCGGCACTGAGCATGTCAGTGCTCAGCCCAGCCGCCCCAGGGTCGTGTCCCCCCCCGTCCCAGTGCCCCATGGCCTCTACCCTCCTCGCTTGCTGGGGGCACAGAGTGGAGCGGGGGTCTTGGCCAGGCAACGGGATCCATGGTAGCAAGCGCAGGGCAGGGGAGTCCGGGTGTGTGAGAAGCAGAGGAGGGGGCAGAGTCATCCCAGCCCCCGGCTGCAGCCGGACCCAGGGTGCAGAGACAGCGCACAGGGCTGGGAGGCCCTGCTTCCACGTGATCCGCAGCAGAGAGCCAGCAGGGCCGATGTCAGATGCCCCCGGCCAGCGACCGGGGCCCTTTATTGTGGAGCAGTGCAAGTGGCTGCCAAAGGAGCGGAGACCCCAATACCCCCTCCCCTGCCCTGTAGCCCCCGAGCATGGGTAGTGTCCCCCCAAGTATGTGCAGTGTCCTGGAGCTGGGGTGGGACGTGGTGGGGCAGCGACAGCCACAGCAAGGCAAGAAGGGGCCAAATTTGGTGCAGCGTGGAGGGGGCAGGGCTGGGGGGAGCGGTGACCCCGCAGGGAGGGGGACAGAGCCGGCGGTCAGCTGAAGAGGCCCTTGGCCTTCTTGGCTTTGGGCTTGGACACGAGCAGTCGCGGCTTCTGGCTGGGAGATGAGCCCTCCTGGGAAAAAAGGGAGCATCAGGCATGGGGGGCAGTTCCCAGGGCCGCTGGGGTCCGGCGGGGACCTGGACACCTTTTGAAAGCCCCCAGCCCCCAAGTCAGCCAGCCCCCCTGGGTCAGGATCGGGGCCCCCGGTCCCCTGCTCTGGAGCTGGTGGGGGGGGGCAGCAAAGGCCTCAGGCTCCCTCGGCACTTACCGCAGCGGCTCCGTTGCTCCGGGCTGGAGAGAGCGGGGGCTCCGACCTGCCCTGTGGCGGCTCCGGCGGCAGTGCCGTGTCTGTGGCCCCCGCAGCCTCGTCGTGGGGTGCGAGCTCCGGGGTCTCTTCTGGGACCAGGGGCAAGAACACAAGTCAGTGCAGGGCCAGGACCGAAAGGGTGAGGAGCTCCCAACACCCTGGCTACGGGGCCAAGGGTCTCCAGCCCCGGGGAGCAGCCTCCCCTCGCCCAGCCAATGTCCCCGTGGCAGAGAGGGAGGCGCAGCCCGGCCAGCTCAGACCCGCAGCCCCTGGCAGAGGCCTGGTGCCCCCAGCGCACCCCCGTGATGCTGTCCCACCTTCCTTCTTGCCGCCCTCACCTGAGCCACGCCGTGCCCGGGCTCCCTGCTGGACCACGGCTCTGTAGAGGGGCTGCAGCTTGTCTGCAAATGCCTGCCCGTCCCCGGGCCCGCACACCCAGGCCAGGCTCTGTGGGGGAAGAGTCACTGTCAGGTCTGGGGACAGCCGTGGCAGAGACCCCTGGGCTCCAGGGAACAAGCAGATTCCACCCAGGTGCCGAGTGTGAGGGAGTGCGCCTCTGCCTTGCTACCCTCCTGCTGCACACCATTCCCAGGGGCAGGGGCTGGCACCGACGCCTGGGCACGGTGCACTGCAATACACCTGCGCCTGCACGGTATTGCAGCCGGCAGGGGTGAGTGCCACGGGAGCTGGGGGCAGAAGGGCACATTCCTGCACCCTGAACAGAGCTGGCACGCCCCGGTCATCGCCTGCCCCGGGGATAGCAGGGGATTCTCCAGCACCAAGTGTACCAGACGGGCGTCAAACAGCCAGAGCCAGATCTAGAGCCAGCACCAGCTGCCAGGACCTCGAGCATCCCTGTGGGACCTTCCAGGACGCTGTGCTCCCCACAGCCAGGCAGGGCCATCCTTGGCCCCCACCTCCACCTCCACGTGCCCCGGGCCAGCCCCAGTGGGCAGCAGTCGTGGGCAGCACCTGGCACAGTGTTATGCTCTCGGCAGAGGCTGCACTGGGGGGGTCCCTGAAGGCACCCCCCCTTCTGGCAGCCCTGTGGTTCCCAGCTCTGGGCAAACCCGGGAAGCCGCCCTGGCGCGTGCGTGCCAAAGGTGCGGGCGCTAACCTCTGCCCCACTGGCCGCTCCCTGCCCGGGCAGACGGGAACAAAGTGTAAGAGATAAAGGCCTCGCTCCTCTCGGCAAAGGAGGAGGAGGAGGATGGGGGGGCGGCGGCTACTCAAGGCCAAAGTCCGTGGCCTGCTCCGAGCTTCAAGGCACAGCCCCCCTCGTTTCCCGGCTGGGGCAGCGGGGCCGGGTGATGGTGCAGGCCCCTGCACCGCACCACCGGCCTCTCCCTTCTGCCATCCCCCGCAGCTTCCTGCATTACCCCGCCGCTGTGCCAGCTGCGAGACCCCCATCCCTGAGCCCCAGGCAGCAGGACCCCCGGGTTGTGCTGCCCCAGCTCCCAGGATCGGGGCTCGCAGTCAGGCGCGCCACGGTCGTTGCACTCAGCTGTGCCGCCCCAAGCCGGCCTGGGCTGGGCAGGGCACGGGAGTGCCCGGGCATGGGTTGAGTCACGGCCACCGCTGCCACCTGCAGCCAGCGCTCAGGCCAGGATATGGCTCCTCCGCCTCTCCCTGCCTGTCCCGGAGCCGCCCGGGGGCAGCTGCGCCGTGCCCAGGCCGCGCCGCGCCCGCCATCGACCCATCCCCAGGGGCAGCGGGCGAGGCAGGGAAGCGAAGGCGCTTCCAAGGCAGGACAATGGCAGCCCGGAGCCGCCCAGATCAAAGGCACCAGCCGGAGCCATAATTCAGCGCAAAGCAAACAGCAGCTGCCCGGGAGTTTGCAATGTGTGCCCGGAGCGCGGGGGTAGGGCAGCGCCTACCCCACGCCGCACGGGCATGGTGCCGCCGGGGCCCGCCTTGCCCCACTGCCCTGGCGTGGCCGGCTTGGGACGCGAGGCCCAGAGCTGCAGAGGGCCTGCCCCTGCATCTCCCCCGGTCCCAGCACTCCAGCCTGCACCCAGGCTGCTGAGCACAGGACCTGCCCCAGGGCCGTGGCAACCTGCCCAGAACATCCAAGGCTGGAGGCACCGGGCTCGACCAGCCCAGATCCTGCCACATGCGATGGGCACAGGAGGGACCTCCTCGGAGGCGTCCGGCCCACAGGGCATTTGCCAGGGTGCCACGGCCCAGCAAGAGGCTCGGGGGATGAGCTCCCACCCTGGCATGGACGGGGGAGACGGCGGCTCCACGCTCACAGCAGCCAGGGGCCAAGGGAGCTGGCAGCCGTGCCCGCCACGTCCTTGGGAGCAGGAGCCTCTGGCTGGGGGCGAGAGGGCAGCTCATCCCCCGCCCAGCACGTGGGGGCCGGCCCAGCTGTTATGACTGCCCGGACACAAGGCCGTGCGTGCCACCCCTATCAGATGCCGGCGAGTCAAGGCTGCGGCTGCGGGCACCAAGCGCACCCCGAGCTGCCCGGAGCCTTGACTGCCCCCGACTATCCCATGCCCAGGTAGCAGCTGCCCAGGGTGGGAGTGGGAGAGCCAAGGGCTGCCCTGCCCACCTGCCCCCAGGCTGGGCTGGGGTCCCCCCCCTTGCACCCAGGGCCAGAGGCTCGTGTGCACACCAAAGCAGCCCCCCCGCAATCCAGGCTCCTTATCTCCAGGCATGGAGGGGCCTCTCGGGTGCTCATGGTACGGGCTGCTCCCTCCCCTGGGGACAGGTCACGATCCTCTCCCCAAGGCACGAACTGGTGCCAGGGAGGAGAGGCAGTGTGAGTCGATGGTTAGTGATAAAAGGGGATGGCACTGGGGGGGCATGTGTCTCCAGACTGGAGGGACGCTGGCAGTGCCCATGGAGTGCCTGTGCCCTGCCGGGTAAACGTCATCGACGCTGGCCTTGGGGACAGGGCATCTACAGGCCCAGATGGAGCAGAAGGTGCTGGTGCTGCCTGCCCTGCCCCACAGCTGCACAACGGAGGAGGGGGTAACCCCAGGGTCCCCCCAGCCCCTACCTGCCTTGCTGCTGGTTCAGATTGTCTCTCCCCTGCCAGCGCGGGGGCTGCAAACCCTGCCCTGGCTCCCCCCAGCCCTGGCTCCCCAGCACCAAGCTGGCAGCAAGGAGCTGCTTTCGGTGCCCCTCACCACCTGGCTCAGGGCCAGCGCCCGGAGCCGTCTCCGCAGCCCAGCGCCTGGGGCCCTGCAGCCCCCCTGCTCCCATTTCCTCGTGTATTTTTAACTGGAAAACAGTGGGCTTGGGGCCGGCGTGGAAATTACAACCCAGCGGCTGCGGCCGGGCGCTGGGCTCTGCCCACATTCCCGCGGCCGGCCTCAGCACATGTTCCACCAGGGGCACGCTTCATAACTCACGCTGCGGCCGGCGCGGAGGGCGTGGGCCCGGGAGGGGAAGCCACGGCTTTCCCCGGCTCCATGGAAGTGGCGTGGTGGAGCGGGGCGGCCGGGGAATGGCAGGACGAGGGCGCTGCCGAGCCCAGGGCAAACTCTGCTCCTGGCACCAGCCTCTCCCTGCTCAGGGCCCTCAGGGCATCGCCCCACACTCCCCGCATCACTGCACTGGGCACCGGCGTCCTAGGATGGAGCTGGTGTCTGGGAACGAGCAACCTGGAGCAGGGCACTGCACAGCCGCCCTCTCCCTGCTGCCTGCCACCCAGCACCAGTGTCTGGCTGATAGGCACCCGCAGGCCCATGCTGCAGCCCGCCAGGACTGTCCTGTGCAGCACGGAGCCCAGACAGGAGCCGTGGAACTCCTTGCTGCAGGAAGCCCCAGCTCCACCGTCCCCACATGTGCTCACAACGCACCCCCCAGAAAGTGCTGGGGGCAGCCGGACGGGCTATGAACAGCCAAGAGGGCACACAGGGGGCTCAGCACCCATGAGACACGAGCAGGGAGTACATACCGGCCGCAGTACGGGCACAGCTGGGCTGCCCCAACCCTCCCAGCACCCCAAAAGATGGCACGGAGGAGCAGAGAGAGCAGAGTGCCAGGGCCCCAAGCCAGGCTTCGGTTGCCCTGCTGGGGTGGGGCAGGAGCAGGCTGGGGGCACCTGGGGCTGGCCCACAGGTCTTTCCTGCTCCCCAGGCAATGCAGGGTGACAGGCACGGACCTGGGGGGAGCCCAGGAGCTCAGCCGTCCCCTCCAGCAGGGAACAGAGGAGCTGGGGCAGGACCCCATCAGGAAGCAGCTGCAGCAGGGCTGGACAGGGGGAGAGGGTCCTGGCAGGGCATGGGGAAGCAGGGCAGGGGGTTCACTTGCCCACCCCCTGCCTGCACCCCTGCCCGCCTGTTTGTCTTTCCCCGGCCTGGGCAGGGAACATGTCAGGTGCAGAAGGGTGTCCCCGTGGCCCGGTCCTGGGCCCACGACCCTCAAGCAATGTCCCACCCGAGGCGCAGCCCCAGGGCACCCAAGCAGCAGCCGGCTGGTGGGTCCCGTGGGCCAGGCAGAGCACCCCAGCCTCCTCCTGGGCCGGCTCTGCCAGGAAGTCCTGCTGGGCTGGGAGCCAGGCACGGCTCACCCCGGTGTCCCCGTCACCGTGGGGCAGGGCAGGGAAGTGGGTCAGTTGCGGCCGCGCCGTCATTGTTATTACAGGGTGGCTCACACTGCTGCCAGCTCATGCAGGCGGTGGGGGGACACCGGGGAGCAGCCGGAGGCCATGGGGATGGGCCTCACCCCGAACCCCTCACCGGAGGGATTACCCGCCAAGACAAAGGCGGGGGTGGGAGCGGCCTGGAGCCGTGCCAGGCGGGATTAGGGGCTTTGGGGGGAATCTGGGCGCGTTCGGGGCACCCCCTGGCCCGGCAGACGGAAGCGGGCACACACGGGGAGCCACGCTAATCCCACACGTGAGTCAAGCCCCACTAGCAGGGACATGGCCCTGTGCCCCCCCGCCCAGCCAGGCCCCCAGGTGCCAGCTGGGCGCCCAGGTGCCCCCCAGGTGCCTGCCAGGTGCTTCCCCGGGCCTGGCTGGAGCGGGTCCAGGCGGCCGGGCCGCGGCCTCGGGAGCGAGCGCACAGCCCCTCCATTCACGGCAAAAATAACGCACTGGGGTGTGGCCCCCGGGCTGGCGCGGCCCCCACCCGGTCCTGTTTATTCAGCATCTGGAAAACACTCCACCCCCCGCCACCGTCCCCAGCCCCCAAATCACCGCAGTGACCTTTCTTCCTGGCCCCGGCCCCACGGGCTTCTCCCCCGGCCAAAACACACAGGCCTAGGGGCTGCGGGTGGAAAGTGGGGGGGTGATGTCAAACTCCCCCCCCCAAAGCTGAGGTTTTCCTGGCAGGAGGGGCCGCTCCGGGTGATGTCATGCGAGCTGACAGCAGCCACATGAAAGGGCCTCACTGCCCAGGAAACCCGCGGCCAGACAGACCCGCGATTCTTCCCGGGCTGGGGAAGAGACCTGGGGGTGCCCTCGCCTCGGCCGGACCCCCGCCCGGGGA